AAAAAAAAAAAAAAAAAAAAAATCAGAGACTTTAATTATTTGAGCAAAAGGAAATGAATTCTCTTGACAACTGACAGTCTTGGAAGGTGAGCCTGCTTACCTGAACATTTCAGTCCTAGTCAACATGTTGATTCCACCACATAAAAACCTAAGCCCAGAATCAACTTCACCACCCCCAGACTTCTATCCTGCAGAAAATGTGATATAAATTACTTGTGATTTAATCCACTCAGTTTATCATGATTTTTTCTACATTCATTGAAAACTGATATAATAGTCACAGACCACTTAGCCTAGTAAAATCTACATTTCTGAGCTATTCATTTACATAGAACTTTTATGTGTGATTAATATTAATTGTTATGTTTCTGTATAAGATTTGCCATGTAGATATTTAAATTTACAAGTTACCAAAAGGAATATGCTTGTCAAGTAAAATTCTCTAACTTTTCTTTTAGAATATTATTGGACCAAATCTAGTGCTCTGCCTCTTCCTTCTCCATAGCAAGATCTAAATCAAAACTCCCCGAACTAGAACATATCAAGAATCCTTCATTTCATTCTTCTTTAGCACATCAGCCCACACAAACTAGGCTATTTGTATAGTTGTGTTACAAAGAGATTGGCTGCACCTGCTCCATTGCTTTCTTTGAAAAGCCTGTCTGAATTCTTTATAGCTCAGTTTCTCTGCTCAAGATAATAATTCTTCCTCTCTTACAGAAGACTAAGCCTAGATTACTGTTATATTATTGCCCTTTCTTCTGGAAATCCCAAAGAACTGAAACTAAAACTTAGGTAAGGGTGTGCATGTGATGGGGTGAGAAGTCACAATGGCTCACATCGGGAAGCGACCTCACTTCCGTCTGTGGTTCCCACCTTGCAGTTTGGTGTTCCTGTGCAGAGAACTTGGCTTTTCCAATTGTCCAATACTCCAGAGTGTCAGGCTCTGATTGCAAGCTGCAATCATAATATCTCTCGGAAAGTTTTTCTTTTTCTTCTTTTAGAATAAGGTTCATCTTAAGTGTACCCATTTCTTTTAGGAACCTAATGAAAACTAACACAGCCCTGAAATATCAGTGCCTTCACTTTTCTTTCTGAGCCCCTGAAACACTCAAAGTACCTGGGTTGCAAGTTACTACAGGTTTAATAAATTTTCCCTTAATGCATAATGATGGCTGACTTCCCAGCCATGGAGAGATGCATATTTTCTGAATTCCATCTTCTCTGCTCTAGTTATCCCTTCACAATGAGCTCCATGACTTGCAATATTTTTAGTCCCCATTTCTATGTCAATTAGAGTTCTCTGGTTTCAAATGCAGAACTGTCTGCCTAGCTTACATAGAAAATTTGTCTTTTGTAAATACATAGGTAGCTCACAAAATGTCTGGAAAACAATAACTCTCAAGTAGTTTTCATTAGACATTGAGTAGATTAATATATGAAGGGAGAAAATTTAGCCTACTTACACCATTGCTGATGTGCTTTAAAGACTGGGCTTTAAGCTCTGCAACTATTCCTGGTTCCTCCTTAACTAAATTTAATTGGGAGGAGTAGAAAACAGTAATTAACTGTCCTATCCCAAAAAAATTGCCCACAAGGAGGAAAAAGAAATCCCAGAAAGACTTCAGAATTTTGCCATAAAAAATGAATGAATTCTGGGTGGATGAAACAAAACAAAGCAAGGACTAAAAAGGGAAGAAGGATGTGCCATTGCCACAGGAAGACAGTTGACCCTTCATCTCCACAGCAACATCCTGGGGGCCGTGCTCTGGACCACTCAGAAGCAGAACACACACACACACCCCTCAGTGTTCACTTACCCCATGCCAGCTTCACTGACCAAGAGGGCCAGGAATCCCTTATTTTTAGTTTTTTTTTTCCTGTGCAGTCTGGCTTTGCAATTCCCCTGCCTCAGCCTCACAATAGCTAGGATGGCAGGCATGTGTCTGCTGAGCTAATATTATCCCTTAGTTTTTTCAGACTAATCAGGCCCACAGTCTCCCAAATTAGTAGATGGTGAAGGCTAAATGAAAGAGACAAATGATATGATTTCAGGACTCCAGGACGATTAAAAAAAAAAAAAAAACCCTCTTACAGAATTTGAGATTCTCTGGGGATTAAGACAAAGATCTCTGGGTGGCCTTATATATTTATCTATTAAAACAAAGTGGGAAATACTGAAGAAAGGTAGGACTCTGCCTTGAA